GGGAGAGGAAGATTCTTCCGTTCACTGGGTAGCCGTCATCAGCTATTAATACATAAATTCCTTAAACGTCTTTGCATGGGGCCAAGTAAGTTTTGGACAAACAAAATATATGGTACCATTATTTGAAATAGCATGTTTACAGTTTTTTCAGGTTGAGTAGGGTAAATGTTTCGGAAGCGCTGCGGACTTCCCAGCACAAAAATGAGTGCGGACCCCCTGATCGATTCTTTTTTTGGCTTTTTCAACGGTGAAATTGCTATTGGCTTAGTTTGCTGAAATGTGCACAAATGAAAAAATCTAATTGCACTTCTGTTAAGCCTTTAAGGGAAGTTTTGAAGCTGAATGTGATCGTGATCGACACAATTTGACTTTACTTTTGGCCGCCGTGTCCGGAAGATGGCTCCGAAGAATCCTGTGATCGATGGCTATTTTGGAGAAAACGTTTAAACATTCCTATAAGCAAATAAGATTGGAGTTGGTCCACCGATGCCGAAAAATGTTCAATAACCATAAGAACAACAGTCGCAGCAGCCTGCAGGCCTGCACCCCTCAAAGCGGTCATTTAGGATAATTTAACGTATTTTTTATATTTTTTTACCGAATTTGCCAGATAGTCTACGATTTTGACCAAATAATTTTAAGATTTTGTTTGACGCAAAATATCAAATTATGACGTTACAACGGATGACGTCACAAAAATGGGTTTAATGAAATTTTTAATTCCAAAGTGAAACTTGTATCATCTGAAAGAGCTTTAGGAAAGGAGTAAAACACTGAAAACCGTTTCTCACTACGACGCGTATAACTCGACTTATGGGAATTTAAGTGCACCTCCAGGGGGTCGTCCTGCACCTATCCAAAGCGGCCTTCTGATTGGTCATCTGGAGAGAACAATAGAAATTTTTTCATGGAAAAATTGTCATGTATGCATTAGTTACTATTTCCCATCACTATGAGACTCAATTCCATAGTTTTATACAACCAAACAACTTTTTGGACCATCTTCCTCAGTTTATTACGCTTTGTACGTATCTTCAAATTCATCAGAGCAGGTGTTGTGTGCCTTGATGTATGAAGTAAAGTCGATGTCAAAGAATCCTCCTTCGACGGCAGCTGTTGCTGCCAGTAATAAGGAAGACGGACCGTACCAAGTGTACTAAGTGTACCGAGTGTACCGGCTGTACCGACTGTACCGAGTGAGCCGTATCTTACAAATCATTGAAACAAAAGGTTTTAAATTTGTGGAGACTTTAAAAGTTACATTTGTTAAGAGGAAGGATAACACCAATATTTATAAGTGAGCTTATTTTAATAGTCGGGCGCAAATAGTAATTAATTCCAATGATTTTTTTACCAAGTTTGGGATTATCACAACAGCAATTATTGAATGGTATTGGTGTTTGGCTGTCAGATGGAAGTGGTTGGACTATTACTAGCATTGATGAGCACTATATTAATACAGTAGCAGAGACTCAACATTCGAGAAAGGCTTTGGTCAATATGAAGAATGAAGACAGTGAGAGTTTTCGTTGGTGCCTTATTCGGTACTTAAATCCTCAAGAAAAGGATCCACAGAGAATTAAAAAATCGGACACAAAAATGGTAAAATAATTAAATTACCAAGGTATTGAATTTCCAGTTAGTACTAAAGATGATACCAAAATTGAGGTGCAAAACAGCATTAATGTTAATGTTTTTGGCTATGAGGATAATCAATTTTACCCTATCTTTATCTGCAAGCAGCATAATAAGGATGTTTTGAACTTACTGTTGATTACTGAGGGAGACAAGCAACGTTATGTCCTAATTAAGGATTTTAATAGAATGATGTACAACAAGACCACGAGTCACCACAAAAACCATTTCTGCATGCATTGTCTCCAATGTTTCAGTACAGAAGAGATACTTTCCAAGCATAAGGAGAATTTCATGTTCATTGATGGTCAGCAGGCTGTGAAGATGCCAAAGAAAGGCAATAAAGTACAGTTTCAAAATTTTCACAAGCAGGTGCCGGTACCTTTTGTTATATATGCAGTTTTTGAGGCCATTACAGAGAAATCAGATAGTTGCCTACCTGATAGTAATAAATCTTATACCGACAAATACCAGCAGCACACGGCATCCAGCTATGGCTATAAACTTGTATGCTGCTATGATGACAAATACACAAAGCCAGTTAAGACTTACTGGGGAGAGGACTCTGTTGAGAGGTTTATGAAAAAGGTGCTCAAGGAGGAAGGCTATTGTAGGAAGATTATCAGGAGTAAATTTAATAAGCCATTGGTTATGAGCGATGAGGAGGAACAGATGTTTAAGGGTACCATTGAGTGCCATATTTGTGGAGAAGAATATAAGGACAAACGGATTAGGGTTAGAGATCATTGCCATACCACTGGTAAATATACAGGATCTGCCCATCAGGACTGCAATTTAAAGCTCCGTATTAGTGCCAAGGATTTTAAGCTCCCAGTTATTTTCCATAATTTGAGAGGATATGACAGTCACTTTATCATGCAAGAAATTGGATCTGTAGGAAAAAGCAATAATTTAGATAGAAACTGCATCCCTAATAATATGGAGAAATACATGGCCTTTATGCTGGGTAAACACTTAGTATTTCTGGATAGTTTCCAATTTATGGCCAGTAGTTTGGAGAGACTAGCAGCTAATCTTCCTGGGGATAAATTTAAGTACACATCACAAGAGTTCCAAGATGAGGAACTAGCTCTTATGAAAAAGAAAGGAGTATATCCTTATGACTATATGGACAGTTTTCAGAAGTTTGGTGACCAACAACTACCCCAAAAGAAGGAGTTCTACAGTATTCTTACAGATGAGGGCATCAGTGATGAGCAATACCAACATGCCCAAAGAGTACGGGCTACATTTGGGATGAAGACAATGGGCAATTAACATGATCTGTATCTTCAGAGTGATATTCTTCTATTAGCAGATGTTTTTGAGAACTTCCGTAAGACATGTCTACAATATTATAAATTGGATCCATGTCACTATTTTACATCTCCAGGCCTTTCTTAAGATGCCATGCTTAAGTTGACTAATATTAAGCTAGAATTGATGACAGATGTGGACATGTTCCAATTCCTTGAAAAGGGAATGAGAGGTGGGATTTCCTACATTGCTAACCGATATGGGGAAGCAAATAATAAATACATGAAATAGTATAATCCAGAGAAATCCAGTAAGTATATCCACTATCTAGACGCTAATAATCTTTATGGATGGGCGATGTCTCAGTGCCTTCCAACAGGTGGATTCAAATGGCTAACCCCTAAGCAGATTAATAAGATCATGAGTAAGACTCTATTGCCTGATAAAGACAAGGGATATATATATATATATCTATATATATATATATATATTTGAAGTTGATTTAGACTACCCTGAAGATTTACATGAGCTGCATAATGATTACCCTTAGCTGCAGAAAAAAATGAAAGTTACCTCAGAAATGCTCTCTCCCTATTGCCAAAAAATTCAGGAACAGTTTGGAATTACCATTGGGCAGGTTGCTAAGCTTATTCCAACACTGGCAGAAAAGAACTATGTACTGCATTATAGAAATTTGCAACTCTATCTGTCTCTTGGTTTGAAACTAAAGAAAGTACCCAGAGTATTGGAATTTGATCAGAGCCCATGGTTGGTGCAATACATTAATTTCAATACACAGGAGCGTATGAATGCTAAGAATGCTTTTGAGAAAGACTTTTTGAAACTATTAAATAACTCTGTATTTGGCAAAACCATGGAAAACACAAGAAAGAGAGTTGATGTGAGATTGGTGACAGATCAAAAGACTTAATCTAAGTTAGTATCCAAACCGACGTATTTCAACAATAAGATCTTTAATGAGAATCTTGTAGCAGTTCATAAGATAAAAGAGACGCTGGTACTAGATAGACCTGCCTGCTTATGTGGGGATGGGCATTTTGGATCTATCAAAAAGACTGATGTATGACTTTCATTACAATTACATTAAGAAGAGATACAATAGTAAGGCCAAATTGTTATTCACAGATACAGACAGCCTTTGTTATGAGATAGAGAGAGGATATTTACAGAGAACTGTGGGAGGATAAAAACCTATTTGACAATAGTGATTATCCTAAGGATAGCCCATTTTTTAGCTTAACGAACAAGAAAGTAATTGGAAAGTTTAAAGATGAGGCCGCCGGTATGCCTATTGTGGAATTTGTTAGGCTTCGAAGTAAGATGTACAGTTATGTAAAAGAAAATGGTAAAAATGAGAAGATGGCTAAAGGTGTTAGAAAGTATGTTATAAAGAAGAATATCACTCATGAGAACTATAAAGATTGCTTACTGAATGGTAGACAAATGTTACACAGCATGCGCACAATTAGGAGTGAGTGCCACCAGATTACTTGGTAGCTACAATTTAAATAAAATTAGTCTGAGCTGCTTTGATGATGAGATATATTCTGGATGATGGGATCAATACTCTGGCTTACGGCTACTTTCAAATAAAAAATTAACAAAACTGGTGGCCACCAAACCTTCTTAAGAGGGACCCCTATTTTCCCAATCGCTAATCCCCCCATTTTCCCTGGTCCCTCTTGAGAAGGTATTTTTTGCCCTCAACCTCCCGATCTCCTAGGTTAGCCATCTTCAGAGTCTCTACACTTTTTATTTGGTTTTGTTTCTCTAGGCTTTAAAGTAAACCAGCACTCCTATGTACCTCGCTCTTGCTAATAGGCCATCCTCTTACGAGTGGTCCTTAGTACAATTACAGCTCTACTCAATACTCCGACACCATTTTTGAGAATTTTTAATTACACTACAGTCAACTCCCGCCTTGCGGACACCTCGCTATTACGGACAGCAGCAAAAACCCCGGCGAAAGTTACAGACGTTTGACTGAAATAAACTCGCGCTATTACGGACTCTCGCTACTATGGACTTACGGACACTTTATTCGGTCCCAACGTCACAATTTTATTGTTTTCTCTCTCCTTATAGCG